TCTACTTACATTTCATACATATTTATTTTTAATGCATTTTATGTTCTATATTTAATATTCTATTTTTAGTAACTGAGAATGATTGTTGAAAAACAATTGAAAACATTTTTATTTTATTAAATTTTGCTGGATTTATATCGGTGTAGTTTATTTTTCAACTTATTCTAATTCCAGTATGTATTTGTTATATGTTTTATGATGGCCACGCCAGCCAATATCTATAGGAGACTAGCACTTAAGTTGTGCAAGGCAAGGGCTCAGTTTGAATTTCTCATGCAGTGACGCCTGAATGATGCCTTTCCAATATTTCAAAAAGTTCAGTCAAAAATTCAGAAAGCTATTGATGATTCAAAATATACAGTATTTCTTTAACTGCTGATATTTGGACAGCAACTACAAATAATTTTCCTTTTTTAAATGTAACATCCTCACTGGTTGAAGGATGATTTTCAGCAAGAGCTGTTTTGCGAATTGTTCCCTTTGAAGGCTCCCACACAGCTACATGAGTCAGTGAACAGATAAACATAGTTCTTGAACGGTATAAGTTGACAAAAGTCATAAGATATTCTTAGTACTGAGAGATTCCGGAGCAAATATGATAGCTGGAATCAGGAATTGCAACTTAGAGGTATTATTGTGCTTTACACATACACTGCAGCTGACACTAAACAAATGCTTATTTTCTCAACAAGATAATATAATCACAGTATTTCTATAATCACAGTTAATAGAAATATTGTCACACATTTTAATCATTTTGCTGTAGCTGTAAGCAAATTGGAAGATTTGCGAGATAAGTTAGGTTTGCAGAAACATGAATAAATTCAAGATGTTCCTACTCGCTAGAATTCTATTTACTACATGTTGCAAAGAAACTTGGAACAGCAAAAAGCCCTTGTGCATATATACTATAGATAATAAAATTCCCACGTTGAGCACATATCAGTGGTCTTTCGTTGAAAAAATTGTTCTACTTTCAAAACCATTCGAAGAAATTACTGTGGAAACGAGCAACCGAGAAACCACCTCATCTTCAATAATTCACACAATAGAGACTCTGAAATTATTCTTATTATCAAAAGTAAAGAGAAGTAGTTTCTTTAGTGGCATTAATACCACAATAGAAGGACTAGAAAATTCAATATAAAAAGATTTTCAGCATATATAGAAAACAAGTCTTTATGGTTGTCATCCTTATTAGATCAAAGATTCAAAATTAAATTATAAAAAAAATGGTAGAGGAAATAAAAAGATGTACAATCAATAGCTTAGATGATGATGATAATTCAAAATCTCAAGAATTAAATTCCGAAGCTTCTACTTTCTGGAGACGATCAAGATGGAGGATAATCTCTGAGATTTTCTAATTTATTTGATGAATTAACTTCTGGTGAACGAAAGAATGAATAAAAGCATGCTTTTAAAAAGGAAGAAAAAACGAAACAAACGAACTAACGTTTCGATCAAGAATTAGAAAAATATTTACATTTACCTCTTATACAAAGACATAGTGATCCATTTTTGTGGTGGAGAAGTTCAAAAGAATTTTTTCCTAATTTGAGCAAAATAACTATGAAATATCTAAGTCTCCCAGCATCTTCCATTGAAAGTGAAAGAATTTTCAAAGTTGGATGTAACATTTAAGAGCCCTGAAAATAGTGAAATTCTCATGTTTTTGTATTACAGTTTAAGGTTTTAAAGTTTGAATATTAAATTTTTATTTGTTTTATCTATTTAAACTTTAAATAAAACAGATAGTTTTGAATAGGTTATATTATACCTTATGATATATATTGATAAAAGAAATAATTTAAGTTAAAAATTTTTTTTTAATATTTAGATTGTCATGTAATAAATAAGAAATATATAACAGAAATTTATTATTTTTTATTACTAGCCTTATACGTGACATGCTAACAAAAATATTAAAATGCAAAATTGGCCGATTATTAAAACTGATTATCGGGAAAATGGTCGATATGGCCGATTACCGATTATTTACTGATTAATCGGTGCATCCTTAGTAATAATCCAAACAACTACTGGATTACATTAGGTTATTTTTCCACAATTATTTAAAATTAATTTCTAGTATCAAATTATTTAGAAATTAATTTAAAATAATTGCAGAAAAGTAGCCTGATGTAATCTGGTAGTTATTTGGTGTGCTTATTTCCTTCAGAAGTCATAATTAACACCTAGCAATACTGCACAACTATGCAGAAAATGAAAAAGTTGTGAATTGAAAGTACAGTGGTGTCTCATATAACGTACTTAATCCGTTCCAGGTGTAAGTCCATTAAGTGAAAAGTCCATTATACGAAACACATTTTGCCATAGAAATACACGTTAAAACATCTAATTCGTTCTGCAGCATAAAATAACCATACTGTACCATGAAAAAAATGAAAATGGAGCAGTCACCAATTATGCCGGGTAGTCAGACGTTGTGAGGAGGAGGTGGAGGAACACTTACTTCACACATTCATACAGATACAGACTTTTTACACATTGCAGCAGGTCTCTTTTTATTGTTTTTTAATCGGAGTCAGATTCAGGAGAGGCTACCGGAGCTTGCAGGGTCAACTCCTCTTGTTCCATCCTTTGTTTTTTGGCAGCTGGCTTCTTGAAAAACATGTCCAAGGTGGTCTGTTTCTCTCTCTTCTTCAACACCTGTCGGAAATGACGGGCAAGGGTGTCATTGTAGAGATCATTGATCCTGTTGGCCTCAGCTCTGTTTGGATAATGAGTGTTGGTAAACTCCTGAACCTCTCCCCATTTGACAAGGAAGTTTTTGTCAACGTTCACTCCTTCTGATGATTTCTTCTTTGTTTCAATTGAAATCACCTTTCTGTTTTTTTAGAAGCCATGATTTGCACAACACTTGAATAAATGTAAATACCCTGCACTGAGGTGATGTACGTAATAAACAAGGGAGCAATCCGAATCCCAACGGGAACTCTGTACTTCAGATATACTAATAATATATTCTAATAATACTAATATATTATAAAAATAGCAGATTGTCATTGGCAACGGCAAAAGTGTGGAAACATCATTCGCACTTGTTTGCAAAAAGACCGTTGTTCGCCTCACGTAACTGCTGAACGAAAAGTCCGTTGTTCGCAGCCAGTCCGTTGCTCGAGTCACGTAACGGCCAAACAGAAAATCCGTTATTCAAGGCGTACGTTATACGAGGCACCGATGTAGTCAGAAATGGTCACCAATCATTTTGTTATACAACAATACAACATTGTCAAACAAACATTACTAAAGTTCAGGTGGAAAATTCTAGAATATCCTGCCTATAGCCCAGCCACATCACCAAGTGATTTTATTACCTTTGGACCCTTAAAGAAAGTACTTTGAGGTAAAAGTTCCAATCAGATAACAAAGTTAAAGAATTTCAAGACTAGTTTGCAACACAGCCAAAGCTCTTCTATGAGAAGGTCATTGACTGTTTGTTTGATATCATAGTGAGATAAATACTTGTGCAATTTTGATGATTATGCATTTATTTCTTACCTATAAGATCAAGTCTTTTGTTTTTAAATGAATGCCCCTTATTTTAACAAAAAACAAGTATCTGTATATAATTAAATTAGAAAAAATTAAAAATATATAAATAGTAACATAAATTCAATACCTGTATTTAAAATAGGGAGGAGTATATTTTGTGAACATCAAAATTAAACACAATTATAACATTGATAATGTTTACAGGAACAGTTTACTTTTGAACATCAGATTGACTAAAATCAATTAGAAAATAAAATGATATTAAATATATCAATTTTAAAATCACTATCAAAACTATTTAAAATAAAAGCATAAAAACTAAATTAAAATAAATTAATTTTATGAAAATATAGAACTAATTCTAATAAAGTAATTCAAATGACAAACAAAAAAATCTTTTTACTTTTATAAATACATTAAATAAGACTTAAGTGAAAAATAATTATGGAATTAAAAGCTGCTTGATCAGTTTCATTTGATAGAAACATTTAAAATTTTTATTCTCATCTTTGTTTACAGTGGCAGAACTACAATGTCACAAAGTACTTGGCTGTACTAGGGCCTGAAATGTGTCAATGAAAAAAACTATGACTCGTGGTTAAAACAATTGTTTTGATCATGGTTGGGTGATTTTTCCCCCCCAAACAAATCTAAAGACTTGTTTGGAGGGAAATGGTGTTGGGAGGGAGAGGAGCCTACATTAAGGTTGGTTCAGACTAAGATGGAAAATGACAAGATGTTAAAAAGATTCCTATAGTAATAAATGCACTCCTATTCACACCACCATACTACTGCTTGTTGCTTGATGAGTGCATAGTCACTTAGACAAGCAAAGTGTTGGATAGGGTTTTAGCTTAAATAAAAAACTGATACTGTGATAATGCTAATTGCAGCAAATTATCAGCATTTAGTTTTAAATAGTCTCTCATTGAAATTTAGGAATGTGATAAGCCTAAAAAGGGAATTTGAAAGAAAGTTATACAGTAAGACCCCGCTTAATGCTACTTCACTTAATGCTGATTCGATATAATGCGGTCTACTCGAAGTCTAAAAAAGCTCAAAATTTATGCTGATTTAAATTATTACGGCATTTCATTGATTTGTATATGATATGATTATTTGTGAACACAAATCAATCAGCAAAAAGGTGGCAAAAAGGCATACTTTCTTTAAATTAATGTTTGTTTGGTGCAATTTTGAAAAAAATATAACATCATGGATGCCATATGATATACAGTCGACCCCCTATAAGATCATAGATACGTTCCATTTTTTAGGAATCCGATTTCTTACGAGTCGTTCCAATCACAGCCCGACATGTGTGAAGTTTACGGACTACGGCTGATTGAAAGGTTTTCTTCCATAAAATTAATCGATTCTAGACTAATCCGACTCAACATTTCCAAAATACGTATATATTTTTTGGAAATAATCCGTATAAACTACGCTATAAACAAAAAATTGTAGGATTACTTACCGAGTGTGCACTGTTCAACGTCGCCATTGCTTAAGCTTGTTTTCGTCACGGAGCAGCACACCAAATGGTGGCCGCGATATCTGATAACAAATTTTTCACAGAAAAATAACTTGACCTTTAGAGACATCATTAATATAAATAATTTTTATGGCCGTTGAATAAGAAATGTTTCTTTCACAAGAAATGTATAAAATTACAGTACTGTATTAGACTTACGGTATCTAATTTACATACTGTACAGACGATAGTTAGCATAAAATCTCCGTAGCGTGGCGCCACGCTAGACGGCAGAAATTATACATTTAATTATAATAAAGTTACAATAAGTTAATATATAATTATATGTACAGTACCTAATTTATATATAATTTATATATAATACTGTACAGACGATAGTAATCTCTCTGTAGCGTGGCGCTACGGACGGCGGGAAAGTAGTTCGGCAGTCCGATGACGTTTTACGTAATTATAGGAGTTTTTTACGGGTTTTTACGGATACCGTCGCAATTTTTTCGCAGTTTTATAGGAATTGTAATTATAGGGGGGTTTACTGTATTGACTTCGCTTGGCAAGAATTAACTGATAAATGCATGAACAAAGTGTGGAAGAAGTTATGGCTGAAGGTATCCAAGAATTCTCAACAAGAAGAGCCTATCGCTGTATCATTAGGTTGACCAAACTTAACCTAATGATACAGAACTAGGAGACGTAGAAGAGCAGGATATTGAGGAGTTACAGCAAGTTTCTGATGAGAGCCTTACCAACGACGACCTACAAGAACGGGCAGAACATGGAATTGATGTGGAACTGGGAAATAGAGATTCTGAAAACAAAGAACCCAAAAATTTCTCTACAGATTTCCTTAGTAAAAATTTGGTAACAATAACCGAAATCATTGATCAAATTGTGGCGTATGATTCAGATTTTGAAAGGAGTGCAAAAGCAAAACGATGCATTTTGGATGCGATCTTCTGCTACTGACATTTGTTTAAGGAAAGAAAAAAAGCGACAAATGAAACTTCACGACTTTATTGCAAAAGAACGAGAATTTCAGAAAAGTTGGGACCTTCGTCACAAAAAATGAACTTTACATTTCTGTGTACATATGTTTGTGTGTTATTTATGTTTCTTATACTTGTAGTCTGGCTTTAAAGGCACTTGATTCCTGTCAGGCTACTTCAACACTTGCTTGGGAGTGCTGTTTGCACCTCAATAAGCTAACCATAATAGTGTCTTTTTCTTATGGGTGCCAGGATATGATGATATCACTGGCAATATAAGTTCTCACAGTCTAAATGTTTGAAATGAGAAAATAAATGTTATCTGATTAAAACCTGAGGTAGGTTTCTAAAAGGGATCAAAAATGTTTGTTTTAATAAAAATATGCAGTACTGGAAAATGTATGGTTTATTTTTAACTGGTTCCAGTTTTAATAGAAGTTAGTCTCTTGAAGTACTGACTTATTGGCCAAACAGGGAACTTTACAACCTTTGTGGGGCCTGAACAGCTTTTGATATTTCCTATAATACTTTTTTCAGAGTTGTCAAAGAATGGACTACCTCCAATCATTAAAAGCATTAGAGATCAACTCTTGGTTTAATGCACAGCAAGACATTTCTGATCATGCCTGCTCTCTGGGCAAACTAGATTTCTTATTTTTTTTTAACAGGAATCATATTTGCCTTTTGGTCAGTATTGTGACTGGTTTTGGTCACTTTTGTAAACATCTGTGCTGACTGAAACTTTGCTATTCAGCTTTTGCCCACTTTTTCAGATTTACTGAGGTAATTTCCTCTGCATCTCATTTGTGAGTGTGCAGATTTGGGATCAGGCAGACTTGTTCATTTGGATTCTCCTTTTTTAAAATCCTAGTGATATCTGAACTTTTCCTTCAGAGGTCTACTGTCTTTTTTAAAAGAGATTAGACTTCTAAAAAATCTCTTATGGGGCACAATAAACTTTTAAAGTCACGGTGCATTTGATCTCCCATCACCTGCCTGAACAATATGAAGCTATCTGAAGAGCTTTGTTCATCAAAGCAATGTTCCTGAATCAAGCTGTCCTAAAAAGCATAATTTCACATATGCAATGATTCCACAGATCCGTTGCATTCCATATCAATGTTTTGTGCAGCAAATTCAGGTTTTAAGAGCATAGAGATGGAGGACACAAAGCTGTATCTTTGGTGTACAGGCATTTTTAAATTAAGAATTATTTTGTCATACGACAATAACAATTTATTTTAACTCAAAATCCTTGTTTTTACAATGAAAATAAGTCAAACTATTTTTCAACATAATCCCTATTGACATCCAAGCATTTTTGACATTGGAAGATGAGCTTGATTCATTGAAGAACTCTGCTGCCTGTACTTTGAACCAGTCAATAGTTTTGGGCACATGATCAGTCTGCATGTGTTTACTGCTCAAAAATGTCTTTAATTTCAGGAAAAGATGAAATTCAAAAGACACTAGGTTCAGACTGTACAAAAGATGGTCCAATACATCCAATAATGCCTTGAAATACAAGTTTAATTCGTTCCAAGACAGAGCTGGTTAACTCAAAAGACTCTTATCTCAATTCTATTTTTCCCATTGAAATTAATGGGAATATCTCCAATCTGTTCCAGGCCCCTAAAACTCACCCCTATTTTTGTATTTGTATCTTACAAGCAAAAACGTGTGAATAAACAAGAAATGTAGTTTACAAACAATAAAATAAAAGAGAAAAAAACAAATCATAAAGAAATAAACTGTATTAATGTAACAACCCTAAATTATATATTTTGTTAGTGCTCTGTAAGAAAAAGATTCCATGAGAAAATAACCAAAAAATGTAACTGAGAACTCACAAGAATGTAAATGAGTAAGAGGTATGGTACAATGCGATATCACCCCAGGTAGGATAAAAGTTTCAAGGAAGCAGGTCTCAGAGAGGTTGAGCTGTAGCTAGCAAGGAACGATGGTGCTCCATGGATTACGAATGTACTGGATGACTGACCTTTCTAGCAACAAGTAGAAACAAATTGGAGCATAGTATTTTCTTAAATCTAGCTATTAGTCAGTTTGACTACATGAGGGGTGGAGATAGTTGGAACATTGCTATTCATGCCTTAGAAGCTGTTTTTATATGGTTTGTTTAGTTTCGGTATTACCAAGAGGAGTGAATAAACTTAATTTTTCTTTTGTCTCAATGATCAGTCATGTCAATTCTCAGTTCTTGGCATTTAACAATTCTTCTATTCTTCTGCAACAAACGTAATCATTTTGTATTGGTTCCCATACCAAGTTCAGGGAAAGAACTATCAACTGATTCTCTACTTTTGTTTGTGCAGTGTCTGTACTGTTAGGACATTTTCAGAACTACAAAGAAAGGATGTTACATTAAACCACAAGTCATGGGCCAACTGAAACTCGCTTGTATCTCAAAAAACTTGTATGTCGGTATGCTCATATATCAAGCATTACTGTATTAATATTCTAGAACAAACAATTCAACTGAGAGAATGCCAGACTTAAATAATATATAAATGAAAAAAGTCTATAAGAATTCTACCAACTCTAATTCCATTGTAGTCAACTGAGACCAAGCCAGAATAATCCAGAAAGTGCAGAATATACAACACAACAAATATATGGAGGCATTACACATTTATAAATCAATATTCATCAGACAAAGACTATATAGTGTTAAGCACTTTTTTTCTCATAAATTATATTTTTTGTTTTACTTATTTTTCATTATACGTGTCATTAT